AATCTTGTATAACGAAGACACGCTACATTACATTATTAAAGTAGCCAGCCCCTTCGTCGACGAAACGAAATCCGCTGACCTCATCCTGCTGCTTCTTTTTTTCGCATTGCGATTCGATTGCGCAAAACTGAGCAAGGAATACGAAGTGCCGTAACACGGGAAGCAACGCCTGTAATAGATGTGTAATTTAGATTAAGGATCGTGGATGATGTGCATTAACTTTCAGTAAGATCGGCCGACCTCTTCTCCTCCGAACTTCATCAACGAACAGCCAACGGAACCATTAATATTTCCAGACAAATTGCGTATTTGTACAAAAGGCATTCAATAACACCAGCGACTGTCCTATTTTTTTTTTTTTTTTTTTTCGAGAAACGCTTAAATCTCAACATATTTACGAAATGCTAAACGAGTTTCTACCTTGCGCTAATCCTTCGAGAATCAAACCATCGAACTAAACTCAAGACTCGGAACTCATTTAATGTTGCAAAATACATTTTGGGACACGTTGTTGCTTGACGATTAATACTCCATTTGGGATTAATAATAAAGATCCAATAATTTTACGTTACTCAATATTACATTCTATAATACGAAACATCGCGGAGCAAACAGATATTTAACTTCTTCATCGAACAACTACAAATGAAACTCATCTTAGTGCTGGACAAAACTTGCAGATTTTTAAGCTATTAATGAAACATTATTTACCTTTAGAGAGACATAAATGTAACCACCATGAAAGTCGATCACGGATTATTTCTGGTCAATTGCATTCCCGTTCGGAACGTATTGTACGAACGTTTAAATACCACATGAAACTTCCGCAACATGTACAATACAAATTGTCAAAATAAAATTAAACGATGAAAAATTACAACGTTTAAATGCTTATGTGCAATGTAAAGGAGCGTATCGCCGCTGCAATTGCATTTCTTTTTCCAAATGTAAAAATCATTTCTCATTTTAAATCTGCCTCTGAATATCCACCATGAAATTCCTCGGAACTAGGAAAAGTATAAAAACGGTCAATTTTCAAGCCACGTGTAAACGAAAATAACTACGTATAGAATTAATTAGTCGCATCTAGGGTAATTACACCAGAATAATTGATCGCTCTAAGCCGACTAGTCGACTGTTTTCACGATCCTGGCGTATTTAGCGAGCTCAGGTGACACCGTATCGAAATCTAAAACAGATAATCCTACAACTGCGCGCTCGCTGTAACGTATAAAATTTAATAAATAGTTGATATCTGAGCAGCTTATATAACGGGTGGATAGAACACAATTCTCGGTGATATGAGGGAATTTTATGAAAACTTATAAACTATTAGAAAAATGGATCCGCTGTGATTTAATAAATGATAGGCGTAGACTGTTTCCAAAATATTCCAATTTTAGTCGATGAGTACATAAGTACCTATATCTTTAATTGATCAGATTTCTGCTTATAAATAGCAGAATGGAATAGTTAAACTATAATCAACAATTTGACTCTCGAAGAAGACCGATAGAAATGTAATTCCATAAATAAGTAATATGACCTTCAAAGTGTTGAACTTAATATAGCAAACCGCTAGTTTTAATCGCTTCGTATTAATATACACATTTTATTCATTAAATGAACCTGACATTAAATTCGAGATCTAAATAAGTGCAAAGCTTGGAACAACTATTTTCTATCACGCTCACAACAATGTCACTGTTCAATGACACGCATAATTGCGTCCGGCTAAACCGTTCTGTCCACCGTGCACCGCTCCAACAGGCCAAGACTGTGCAAACGCCAGCTGCCACAGGATTCGTCATGCGAAAATATCTACAGGGATTGGAAAAGCACAAAATTTACGAACACCCGTTGTATTATTTGCTACGAAAGACCGGCGCACGACTAGGCGTGGTCCACGCGAACCTGCAGTTCTCTTTCCTTCCTTTCTTTTCCTCCGCGTTCATTTCTATCCGTATCTCTCGACTATCCGCTATCGAGCCGCTTTTCAACGATACACTTGCGAGCACGTTCGAGGTAAGCACGCAATGTAACCCTCCGGTGTTCGTACAATTTCGGTTTCACCCGTAGTTAATAAGGTGAACTTCTCTTTTATAAGATATCAGATCTTAACGATTTTTATTTTTAATTAATTTTTAAAATGCCACGAACTGTCGTGTGTATCGATAGCTATTAACGAGTGTTTGTTGGATGTTTAGTTTCAGTAGTTTTTAAACAAATTAGTAAATAGACTGCGAATGTTTACGCAAATTTATATTTTTATGAATACAATTAAATAATTTAAATTCAAATGGAGATTTGTTTTCTCTTCTAAGTAATGTAAAGGTTGCTATTTTTTATATCTTTTTAATCATCCGTAATTTTCTGAACGCTTCTGTCGTATTCTGTGAATCCTACCATGCGAATTAAACTTGATTGCGATTCAACTCCAATATCGTAATAAAATGAAAATGCATGCCAGTGACGAGGATTCCGGTATTTACGCGAGTGAGCTGAAGCGTTTCAGCTATGATTTCGCGAGAGAGGCGAGAATAGGAAAGTAATTACGACAGAGAACGAAAGGACGAGGTATCGCTGTCGAATTCGAACTAGAACGGACCTTGATTGATGGATTCGTTTATGTTGTTAATTTTAAATGCTGTTCTAACAACAGTACGCACGTGGCAATGCTATGATATTGAAGAGTGCTATCAAAGTTCGAGACACTCGATGTATGCGATGATCAGTGTAATTGAGATTCAATGTTTGGCATTATTGATGACCATCGAAGAAAAATCATATGACAGAATTTTGAAATTCTTGTTATTTGATTATCTCGTAAAATTCAATAGTTTGAATAAATGTAACGTAATAGGTATATTTCCCTTTCCCTTTCCTTCTTCGAGTGATTTAACGAACAACTGAAATGCGTTTGGCGCAACGTTACAACCGATACCCGTTACTTCTACTTACGATTAAAACTTTCCAATCGTGGACACGTGACTAGGGGCCATGCTTATGACTTTGTTGGACGATGAAAGGATTCGCGACGGTCATTTTTGCAGCTGGCGAACACGTTCCGATAACCTTTGCGTTAGGGGAACGTCCGAGATGATCTTCGTCGTGATTGTACAGTGCATAGCATCGGGAAATCGATTCGACGATCGAACAACTTTGATCTCTATCTCTTCCATATATGAGGTGTATGTTTTGGAATAACAATGATGGGTTTACAGAAGAATCTCGTTACGGTTATGTTGTGAATGTTTATTTCAGTTTCAAAGTAAACCGTGGTACTCGAGTTACGCGTAAATTCTAATCAAGTATCGATAATCTCTTCCTAAAGCAGAATACTATTACTTTCTACGTTACCTTTATAAGCTAGAAATACGCGCTTTGAATAAAATTTCCATTAAATAGATCTGGCATAACTGTTAGAATAAAACGTAAAGTTTATTAATCTCTCAAATAGTCTCACTACAAGACACTCTAAAGAATCATTTTTAAGTTATCTATTCACAGAAAAATATCAAGATCTCTTAACTTGTTTAAGAATAAAAAGATTCACAACTTAGATTAAATCATTAACTGAAAATAAGACCAAAAGATGCAACTAGATTCATCTTTCGATCGAGAAAACAAACTAAAAAAAAAGAAGTCGCGGCTCTATTAACGCTCATTTTATGGAAAGTGAATTCATCGATACCGGACACTTTCTATCGAGAAACCAACAGCACGTTTCTATCTTCTAAATAATGTAATTAGTTTCTTTTCCTATTACAATTTTCTCCTTTCTGCCTCTTTTCAACCGATTTTGTTTAATCATTTTTTATGTTCAAACAGTTTCGAAATAACGCTTAACGTAAGTGGTATACCGTAAATTGCTAACTCCCAATCATGGTTTACCAACTTAGCAACTCGTGTTTCTGCGCATTCACGTGATAGATTTTTTCGATTGATAACCTCCCTAAATCGCATGACGCGATTAGGTTAACGTTACACGCGTCAAAGACCAACGGGAAACAGTGAAACGAGCACGATGAAGATGCGACTTAACGACAGGAAGCGAAGGAACGCGTCGCATTCTCCACGATAAAAACGCCTAGGATTTCCTTCTCGAATCACCGCTGTCGTACAGGCCATTCATACAAATAACTTGCTTCCTCGATTACTAATTATCCATATGCAGGTTCAATTACGAGACGTATTCAAATAACAAGGATTAATTCGTTCCACTGGCGCGGTAGCCTTCGATGGAAATGAAAAGAAGAAAAAAAGTAAATTAATACCGCCACCATACTAAATGCGATATCGGCAACACAATATCCTTGACACAAAATTGAGATAGAGGTACTCTTGGATCATATTTTGAAGAAAAAAGATTACTGACAAGTATCGCGAGCAAATATAAGGACAACTCTGTAGCTGATTAAAAATTTGTATAATCAATGTATTCGTGGCTTCGGTGAAAGTTTGAAACATAAAAATCTCTGAAATGAATCGATGTTTAAAATTAGAAACAGAATTGTTATAAATAAATATTCAAGCAAAGAACACATTTAAAGAAACTGAAATAAAAAAACTTATTAATGTATAAAGAGAATATAATCATTAATTTCTTAATCGGAATAGAATGCAGATATAAATCATGTCTCGAATAAAATAAAACTCTCCAGTATAATTTATAGTTTCAGTAACAGTTACAAAAAGTCAAATCATTCATAAGCGCATTCGATAAAAAAAATTCTATTATAAAATCTTCCATAGCATCCTTTATATCTATTCTAGAATGTAATATCTATTATATAATCGTAAAACGACATATGTTATCACATAATAAATCATACTCTAAAGATTTCCTACATTTTAAAAGTAACATTAATGAGTATAAAGTTATAATACTAAATCAACCGAAATCGTTTATTATGCGTTAAGATGTAATTAAGTTTTCGCTGCTATCTAAATGTAATCTTTATGCGGAATTGGTTCTTCTATGATAAACATTTACTTACCTGAGTACTATGCTCACGAAGACCATCGGTTGTGACGAAAAGCAGCACCACCAATGTCACCACCGTGCACCACGAAAATCTTCGTACCATTCTGCAAAACAACATACTTGCTTTAGTTACATTTTTTCACTTATTGTTTGTTGATGGATTAACATGGTGTCTATAACTAATTACCTGTTTATATATTTTTATAGATTTTTATATTTTTCTATATGAATCTACGATCTCCATCCCCTTTCTCGGATCACCCTATACGCAAGATCCCATAATGCAGACGCGTGAAAGTCAAGCACCACCTTCTACATTTAAGTCTACTTTTACTCGTATAATTCTTGGCCTATTAACTGGTGAGTATATTTCTCGATAACTGTACCATGACGTTAGAGAACACGTAGAAGATCATACTAAAGACTGGGTGATTTTTGCACATCGAATCGAAAAATACTTTTTTCGAAATTTCCCCTGATATTAAATTATATCATCGACGTGTCTTGTCTCGGATCGGATTATTTTTACGTCGTTAAGGATGAATACACAATTATCTCTTTTTCTTCTATATCAAAAAGATCGATCGGAACCTTATTTTTATCCCGCAACGTTGTACCAGAACGCCTTCGCCTCTCTATTCGTTCCATTAAAAATAACAGTACCTGACACGCTGTCATTTAATAATATCACGATCGTTATTCCGTGGTTTTCCGAGAAACGTCAATTCAACTTCTAATTTCCGTTTATGTAATTGTAAACATCGTTAGACGCGTTAGGTCGTTTAATTACATTCGTTGGTATCGCAAATAATTCCGTTGCCTGGAAAAATAACATCTCGAAAGGAGGTCAAGGTACGTTTCGTGTCAACTGGAAAGGTTTAAAAATGCCCATAGTTCCTCCCCACCCTCTGCACTAAATGGTAACCTGAATCGGTTGCACCGATGCTTCTTATACGCGAGCAATCGATACCAATTTAACTTTCATAGTTATCTTTAAAAAGCGTACAGAAGCTCGACTGTGAGAACATATTCCTCACTTTGGGAGGCTTTGATAGAGTAAAGTATATGAATGACAATATTTAAGCATGTGTCTCTAATGGTTTATGAGCATATAGAAATATTCTCGGAGAAAAGGAAACAAGTTTGACAAAAGGAAAAATTTTCCTCGAGATCTCGATCGCTCTAGTAAATTCTAAATACTGCACCATTAGAAACTGTGTAATGTCAAAGAATTTTTAAGTTCATTAACAAATATAACGTAATGTTCTAATGTAATATACATTATGAACGACAACTCCTTAAAACTTTTTTACAGCTATCATAACGTCAGTTTTCTACGTAGAAGTGCATTTTTTCACATCTTTTTTCTTTAAAAAATCGATTCTTAATTAAAGAATTGTAAAATTATAGAATTTAATCAGAAAAGCGAAAGAGGAAAAGACCTTCACTAATTGCAAGATTATTCTAGTTGAAGCATCAATTCCACTTCATCTAAATTAGGAGGATAAAAAATCGGTTTCTATATGCGGAGAATTTGACAAACGGCAGATCTAACGAGGTCGTCTCAAGTACGCGGCCAGTCGTGATGATCGTGAGCTCTCTCGATCCTCTTTCCTCTGTTAGCGCGAAGATCAGTAAGGAGAGGAGGAAGATCAAGATCAGCTATGGATCGACGACCGTACTCGAAATACCGTTAGACTCAGCTGCGTTGCATTACGATTCATTACCATCGTCCATTCAACTTCTCCTTATTTGCTACCGACAAATCTGTCAACGTTTGTTGCTCGGTTTCCATAGCTTTTTCTCGTATATTTGGGGAACTATACACTAGTAAAAATTGTCAATAAAATGGAAAAAATTTTAATTGCTTTAGTGAATTGGATTGAAGATCTAAATTTGATTTAACGAATTATTTTTATCGACAATTAAGGAAATTCGTTAATTCCTTTGTAATATTATGTATTACAATCTCTGACTAAAAACGTTCTCGAGAGAACAGTACTCCAGCGTCCGATTCCTTTCCACGATCGTTCGTGCGCACGAATCTGTTACGTGCCAATCGAAAGTAAATTCTCTGCTACGGTATATGCACGTATCAAGTTTCGCTCGCGATTGTAAAGCATATTCCGTAGAGAACTGTTTCTTCAATAGAGAATGAATTTTTCGTAAAAGAATTGATTGTTCCTCTTAAACAAGGATATATGTATGTATATACAAAGGTATGGAACGCATAGTACCATTTTTGAATAAAATACCAAAACTCGTATAAAGAACATAATTATAACGCGAACTGGGGCTTAATATAACGAACTATACGCTTTCTTTCAATTGCTCAATTTCGATACACATATAAAAGAATACATACTTTCATTTCGCAAAACAAAACAATATCGAAAACTGACGAGATAAGGAAAGAAATTTCTCCGAAGCACGTTGCTCATGCATCGCTGATTTCGAGGCCAATTTTCAGTATTACTGTTCGATTTAAATTTCTTTGTCGTGCTCGACGAACAGACTACCGCACCGAACCTCGTCGCAGAGAAAAGATCATTTCGGCACGGCCTGCTCAAGTAACTGAGTTTTACGTAAGAAATGCCGGGAACATCTGGAAGTTTGCGCGCGTGAAAGTGGACTACCAAGTTACAGGCAACGGTCAGTTAATTCCGCGACCGTTCGGTTAATATTCTGCAACAGCAGCCAGTTCCCGTAGAGATTACGGAACAGCCAAGCACACAGATTCGATAACCAACTTTTTCATTAACCGACTATCGTTCGAATGGGTTTTCCGATGTATTTCTATTGCAGCTACTCTCAGGAAAATTCCTAACTGACACATCGACGAGATCTTCTTCCCTCAAACACTAAGTTTCGATCGATTCAAATTATTTTAGTTTCGCGTTATCGATGTTGAATACCGAGACGAAGCCGAGGTATATTTTTGCACGACCCGATCATCGATATCACCGATTAAACGCACCGAACGATTACACAACTAGTTTAAGGACGATCGTTCTATGCTCCTTATTATCGTCCATCAACCTCGAGGATCGTCTCTACTACGTAACCAACCATAAGTCAACTAACGAAGCGCAGAACACTAGAAAAAAAGTGAAACACAATCTAGGAGGCTCATCTTATTTCTCGCTCATTGCAACAACGACCTTGCCAAGTTTCATTTCAATAGACGACTTATGATTTTCCCATGTCAAAACAAAAGAACTGAATGTTCCAGACGCACTTGAATTCCACTCACCTTGCAACTTCTTAGACAAACCCGATCCAATGTATCATTTCAGTCCACCTGTCTTGTCGTGGTTCCTCCTACACGCTCAAAGATGCCCTCGCTTTCAGCGTACACAAATTATCAGAATCAATCACAAGGATCACGTTTTACTCTGTATCAAACGTATAGCAAGAGAACATTCAACTATCGAACTATCGAATCAATCCATTTGTTGATTACGTTTTGCACGTCCGCAAGTTCAAAACGAAAAAGGTTCCTCGAAAATCACTGAGAAGAAATCGAAGTAAGTTTGTAACGAGTGTATTGACCGTACACGTAACTCGATCAGGTCAAATGGAAGCGATCGACGCGCATCTTCGCGAGATATTCGGCTTTGCACCGGTGGCAACGCGTGATAGTATGTTTAGGACGTTAGTCGTCGGAATGCTCGGAGACAAATGGAAGTCGATCGAACGACC